TTCATCGCATGACGGGGCTTACAAATGAACTAATGATTCCACGAGTGACGTAAGACCGATTTATGGACGAAGAATTTTTGAAGAAGCTTCAAATATATATGTGGACCAGGGGTGTCAAACATACGGCCCGCGGAGGTAGTTCATCCGGCCCGCCGTCTGTTCTTGAAATTTCCGCTTGGATTGACTGTTAGAACAAATTTCGGCGAAAAAAAATGGGTGCGGCCCGCAGGCATCTGCAACATAAGGAATCGGTCTACCGATTTGAGTTTGACACCCCTGACGTAGACGATAGTGACTGACTGACTAACGCTAATTCTATGTTCTAGAGAAGCTAGAAATCTGAAACTTAGTACACATGTACATTTTGGGATGCAGAGTTAAGAAAAAAATCCGACTTGGGAGGTACATGCCCTGGAGCACCCATTTTGGGGTGATATGTTGTCAATTACATAGATTTGCTTCAGTCAAACAGAGAGACATGAAAAGCTAAAACTTGGCATACTGAGACACAAAGTTCAGGAAAAATGTTAAGTTTTAGATGCATGCCCTGGGGCCATACTTTTGTTGGGTGGCGTTTTGAAATAATTTTTTTTTAATCCTACCGAATTGGCCAGAGATAGAAAGGCGAAACTTGGTACATGAATACCTATTGGAAACCTGAATTCAGAAAAATTCAGACTTTGGAGGTAAATGCCCTGGGGGCACAAATTTCAGGGAAATATGTTTTCCAATATATATATTTTTCATTCTAATGCATAAACATGGAAAGCTGAAACGTGACATGGACGTACCTACTGAGACTCTAAGTTCAGGAAAAATGTCAATTTTTGGATACATGCCCTGGGGGCATATTTTTTTGGGGGAGACGTTTTCAAATAACTTTTTTTTTCCACTGAATTGTACAGAGATAGAAATGTGAAACTTAGCGCAGCAGTAACTGAGGTGATGGTGAGTTCAGAAAAATTCAAGTTTTTTGGTGCATACCCCAGGGCATAGCTTTTATCTGAGTCGGCTTTCCCAAATATATTTTTGCACCAGCAAAAAGAGAAAACGGATAAAGCTAAAACTTGGTATGCATGTAGTTCTCCGAGTATTTATTTCATTAAAAATGTTAAATTTAAGGTAAAACCTTTGAGGGGATTTTTTTATAATAGAAAAGGTGCATTTTCCGAAAACTTATCTGATTCAATGAAGGAGAGAACTAAAGAAAGTTAAAACTTGGAGAAGTACCTGTTTGATCGCTTAGTACATGTCCTACTTTTAAAATATGACCCCTCAGGGCAGATTCTGAAAATATTTGAAGTTAGGCACATAAGAAACAATGGGAGTAATTATTCCAATGAAAATATCGGTTTGTTCTCTCTCTGTACACATTCCGACGGGCACATACTTTTAATACATTTTTGCCACTTTGAAAATAAATTATTGAATGAATCATTATCCTGGGAATGGAACGCCGAAGGCGTGACAATAGCGAGTTTGTTTGCCCTTCGAGCAAACAAACTCACATACATATCCGCACATATCTACAAACGAATATGTGGATATTCACCCTTCACGCTCGCCTAATGAAAATGCAAAGAAACGGGTAACTGCCGACATAATCATCTGAATCAATATCTGGATAAAAACTGACGTCTCTTGGCAGTGCTCCATCTCGATGGATAGTCATCGAGAGAACTGCAACGTGCCCTAGCACTTTTAGTTGGGAATACTCTTTGGTATTAGTGAATGCTCAAATGAACTTTGCCAATGCATTTCACGCAGAAATACCATTCGAGTAGTGATCCCATTCACTCCTGCCCGTGAATTGCAATGATAAAGGTCTTTCGAACTTGTACTTTGATGTACCTAGGTAGTATATAGAAACACTTGGGACATTCGGGCGTATCTCCGAAACAATAACAAGTAATCGAATGAAAAGCAAAATAACTATGAGGAAATTAATTCATTTGCATAAAAAAGATCATTGTTACAGGACCCTAGGCAAGCCCTCAACCTCTTAACCACTTAGCTACTACATTCCCAGTTCACTATCTCCGGCGTGCTCCGGCGTGTTTTCAATGTAGTAGCAACGTTTCAGGCTCTTTGCCGATGGGATCGCGGGCAACTAGAGTATTGATCGGCTATATTCGAAGGTCTTTCGTCACAGTGATTATTGGCGGGTTAGAGGGAGGGAGGGGGGGGGGGCCATGTTTCGGTGGCACTCAAGAGATTAAAACTGGGGGCCGTCCACTTCGGAATTTCCATTGCCGCACAGTTTAAAGAGTTACGCCTGGTACAGCTGCTCGAATGAAAAAAGCACTGTTCCTGAATTATGCACGTTTTTTTTCCCACTGGCGGAATCTTCAACCGACGGCAACTGATGTACTGTATAATTTCCGAGAGAAGCGCGGTGTTATTGAAAGGTGGCGGTAGTTTAAATTCACTGGCTCTTATGTTCGTCTGCTCGCGAATCAATCGAGAGGTACAGTGAGGACTGAGGGAGAAAACATACAAACGCCTGCCTTGGAAGGAAAGAAGAAAATCTATTTTCATAGAAAGAGAACCGTTAGGCACGGGGTAATCATTTCAAGGGTTTCCTGTTCATCACGAGCGAGAGCCACAAAACCTCGAACATCTCCGTCCCTTTCCCTTTGACCGACACAGAAGTCGTCCTTGTTTCCTCCTTCAGTCTCTTGCGCTCAGAGAATTTCAGCTGCAGGGATAGGTCATCCGTATGCACGTCTTTTTTTTTCTCCCCTCCTATTCATGCATTATTTCTCCTCGATTTCCTATGATAGGGTGGGATGGACTTTTGATCTCAAAACGGAGAAACAGGCGTTGATTTCAACTTCGTGTTCAGTCGCAATCCAATTCAGGTTCAGTTAACGTCCTGGTTAGGTTCGATTTCATGGTTCAGCTATGTCGACGGGAGCTTCGGAAACTTTTAGTCTGACCGTAGTTCTTCGACGTTTAACCCTAGGGGCTAATCAAACCTTCCCTAAAGCATTTATTCAGCTTGGGGTTTATTACAATAATTTCACGACTCTAAATCCAATTTCGTACATCATACATGGTGATGAGCTCAAGTTCACAGGCATGAGTTTCATTCCATGCGGGATTTAACATACACAGAATGTGCCGTAAGTTTTCACGGGCAGATGAGAAGGAATCACTACTGCATTTCATGTCCCTTTATCTCTAATCCATTGAAAATCCTGAGCTGGGTCACCCTGAATATCAGGTGGTCCAAGTTCCCAAATTCACAAGCCTACTGAAGGAAAATGAGAGATGAGGGAAAAGAAACTTACATGGAGGGACACAACATGAGGTGGTAACGCGAACATGTGAGCGGAATTGGCCGTTCATAATCCGAGTAATAGCTTTTTATCCGCGCGATATCAAAAAGCGAAGGGCGCCAGTGTGTAAACCCTGGATGATTCCCATACGATGGGACTGGTTCTCCGAAAGTTACACATCCAATATGTGTAAATGGTTTTCCGGAAATTTAACTGAAAATTGTTGTTCGAGACGTTGCTGGTTCGACGTGGACGGGATGAAAATGTATATCGGTGTGAATGAGTGACCCATCCTAAAAATGATTCTCACAGCAGAAAGAATGAAAGAAATAAGAATGACTGGATGCTAGAATTAAATCTCTTGAGGCAGAATGGTTTCACGAGGTGTATGGATTAATTTATGTCTTAAGGGTTTCAAGTCGAGTGGAGTTGCTTGAAGCGAGGCCTGGGAAGCTCTCTATTGACGCACACGTAGGATATTTTAATTTATTTTTCCCATTCATCCAATTCAACCTGGCTCCTTACCACTTTTCCTTTGACGCGATATTAAAGGCTGAGAACCCCCTACACGCTCATACACAAAAGACCTGCTCATTTTTAGAAGTTAGCAATAGACGAGAGAAGCCGATTGGCACCGTTTTTTCCTTGAAACATCGGCCCTGAAAACCGTTTCTGGACCGCTTGCTTCATGAGCAATATACATAGATTTTATAGGAAAACCTCTGTTCTCTCCAATCCTCATTCATGTAAATACATTTTCAGAGACTTGCATAAACGAAGAAGTTTATGTTTCAGTTCAGTTGCGGTTCCAGTTGGGATTTTTTTCGACAGAAGTCGACGAGAGCACAATGAAAAATCAGTCGCACCAAAGTCTGAACTGGAACAAGCACCAAACTGTGACTGTATTAATGCTACCGGTTCGAAATCAGCCAATAGACCGACTGTCGTGAATCTCGACTGGACTGCAATTGAGCACTAAGTGATCGAGCAGAGGTAGACTCGGTGTGGTCGCGAGTCATTGAGCCAAGAAAGAGTGCCAAGAAAGAGGAGGGAATGAGAAGGAAAAGAAAAACACGGTACGGCTTTGTCTGTGTCGCCGTCCAAGACCTCTGTTTCCATCTCTTCCAGTTGCTTTTATCCCTGTATTGTTCCCTTCCTTCAGTAAATATGCTACTCTCGGGCACTTTCTAATTTCGATTTTGATCCTCCTCTTCACACTACGGATGCATCGTGATCGTAAACGAAACCATCAATAATTACTTGGGCGCATCGATACGTGCTGTCAACCCTAGAAAGCATGCTCAGCACAGGTAGTTAGGAAAATTATTAAGCAACAAAACTAATAGCCTCTCTTTTTTTAACTCCCTGATCTGCTCTGGGAAAGTAGGTGACTCTAGATGTAGTTTGCTTCCATTATCTAAATATTCCATTTTCATTATCTGAATGTCTAAGCAGTTCTGTCTTTTGTATCGAGTTGAAAATGTAAAACTGGAGTAGGGCAAGTCGGTTGCTTCTTGGGAATTGATCTCACCTAATTTCTGCGATTTCTCGGCTAGAACACTGCCAGTCATGCTTTCACATAATCGGATGCTGAGAGAGGAGCGAAACGATTCTGCTGCGAATATTGCATTTAGCTAACACCTCAATACTCGCAGTATTTCAGCTCAATCACAGTGAATTTCATATCCATGTTTGTTCTATTCCGACGAAGAGACTCACCGAGCATTTTGATGACCGTTCTTCTGGATTTATGGACGTAATCAGAGTCGGAACCCTCTGAAGTCACACTCGAGGTGTTACAGGTGGATCGACGAAGTGCGGCGGCAATGAGAATGTAGAGAGCCGAGATGATACCCATGGGGAGGACGAAGAAGAATAAAGTTGACACTTGGAAAGAGTAGCGGGAGTATACGGTCCATTCGGGTAGAATCGAGCAGGCTGAAAGACCCTCGACGTACGTGCCGTTTTTCAACTTGGCATACACGAGACCGACAGGGATGACCTGCGGCACGGCGCAGACCACGGCCAAGAGCCAAATCCCGATGATCATTTTGGCGACCCGCGACAATTTTGACATAGTGTGGGACTTGAGTGGGTGGCAGATGGCAACGTATCGCTCCACCGTGAACGCCGTGATGGTGAGGATGCTGGCGCACGTGGTTGCCTCGGCTGCGAATGCCCTCGCGCGGCAAAACGCTTCCCCGAACACGTACGGGTGACTATACCACGTCTTGTGGAGTTCTTCGGGGAGGCCACAGAAGAGGAGAAGGAGGTCCGAGACGGCCAGACTGAAGAGGTATAAATTCGTCGCCGTCTGCATGTGACGATGCCGAGCAATCACCATGCACGTGATCACATTCCCCACCAGACCCGTTATAAATATGGACACATATATGGTGGTCATTGGAATGCTGATGTAGAGGGACACCCGGGGTTCACCCCAAAACTCCAATATTTCCAGCAGTTCTTGGCTCAAGTTACCCGTTTCGTTTGATGTTTCCATGATTTTCCCTTTTTCCAAGCCTGTAAAACACCGAAAATATCTATAATTGCTAGCTTTCATGCAAAATTTAAAGCTAGATTATCTTATAACAAACTACATTTTGGAATTTCATTTTTAAATCGAATGCAAAGGCCAACAGTCACTCAGTGAAAGATGTTCACTCCTATTTAGTATAGATTTCACAAAGGTCTTCGCCTCCTTCTTCAGAGCAAAAATACTTTATAAAATGAACCAGACGAAACGAGAAACCTTAGAATACAAAAAAGAAGGGTAGGGGAAAACTGTATTGCATTGCTGCTATGATGATGAAATGGCCCTTTTGAGAACATAATCTCATTGTGAAATGAAAGGGCGAAAGGGCGCATCTGGAAGTGCTTCATTATTTCTGATCCCTCATTTTGTGCCTAACCCTGTGTAATGGCTTACTCATTCACTGGTGCCTGTACGATGTAATGAAAGCTGAAAGAAATTTCCATCATCAGACAATCCCTTTCGCATTGCATTGGATGTTGCCTGCGAAGAACTTGGAGAAAGTTCATTATGATTTACACGTCTCTCAGTTTCTCACGCAGCATAGGATACCTTTCCAGACAAGCGGATGGGACGAGTTGAGGCTATGCCTCCGGTCATTCGCTCTATTGATCTCGCTCAATTTCATTTTTTGGTTTTGGGTTTTCTCCTCGCTTGTGTGCATTAAACAGCAGGAAGCGAAGGCCCGCATTTCCCGCGTCATGAGGGAATCCCTCAAGCTATGCTTCAGAAAGCGCGTCAGGAATGGGAGAGCCGACTACGCCACTGTATCGACTGAAATAGTCGGTGGCACTTCGATGTTCGGTGGCTATCACAATCTGTAGGGTTTTGCACAGTCCAATGACTAAAAATCCAAGGAGTCGGGGTCAGGTGAGTGCAGGACCCAGCCCGTTCAACCCATCTGTTTGGAAAGGTATCCGCCGTAACTAAGCTCCTTTTGTTCTCCGAGCTGAAAAACACAACGCTGCGTAACTATAATCCATAATGAGTCAAAGATTCCATGAGCACCCTCTATAAATGATTTCGTTGCAAGTTAATCTCCAAACCCGGAAGTCCTTGTTATCGAAATATTCAGAGAGAGTGAGGGAAACTTTTCCTTTATGGACCTTCATGAGAAGTTTTATTTTGACTGTCATCCATCTTTCTTGGAGAAATACAGAGACGTCCAAACTCGTGTTGCAGAGGTAGATCGCATATTCTCTACTTCTCGCCAATGGCAGGCACTTCAATGAGAGCAGGACCTCCCTCCATGACAGGTTTGATTTTTTCTGAGAAGGTAACTGGTGGCTACTTGGAATCCTCACATATATTCCATGAGTTGGGTCATTGTACAACATCTAATTTGCAAGTGGATACATATTCAGAAGGTTGGGACATATTGCCAACTTGGCTGCATGTTTTTGTTCAATTCCTGCTTTTGTTCGCACTTTTCCACAGTATACCTTCTTATATTTACTTTATTTTATTTCACGGTATGCTCATATTTTACATTTCGGGTCAATTATACTTTTTTATTTAGTTTAACAAGTTCTTTTTTCAATTTTACAAGGGTGCTGAGAGATGCTGACCTCGGTTGTAATTGCGTGCTCTCTTCAATAAAATCATGGTAGTAATTCTTTATTGCGTACATTTCCTTGAAATTTCCCTGTTCTGTAAGAGCCAATACATTGAAGTATTTAAATATAAAAGAAGCTCTTTCGCAACATATTTCAAGTGTTCTGATGGGATGATCACGACGGAGAGGATCACTCAATTTTTAAGTTGGTTAACAATATATATTATTTCAACGGAGTGATACTAACTTCAACCGCAGACGTAAGAGCGCGTAAGAAACTCCTGAACCGATTTTAGATATGGCATGCCCAGCCTACCCGCGATTGATACACCAACAGAGATTGGACTATCCGTTTTTTGGAAGGATGCGAACGTAACATTAGGCGTTCAAGTCGTCCATTTTCGAAAGACGTTTGAACTGCGCGATCTAGATCAGGAACGGAGTGTTAGCGGCTTCAGCAGATCTCAACATAATAAATTATACATAAACGATTTCCGATCGGAGGGCATGAGCAACTCAGCGATACGCAACGATGATATAATTCTGTTAAACCCGACGATCTCTGAACGTCCAGATTAAGGTATTTTCCTCCTGTTTTAGCTGCCGATACTGCAATTAAATTAGCTCCCATTAGGAATTAGTTGTCTTGAGCCGACCTCGAGCAAGAGACATGAGGTAGACATGAGATCCCTCAGTCAAATTGAGAAATTGAAGACGGGTCAGACGCGTTAATGCGCCTTAAAACTCGTGAAGCTTTTCTTTTTATCACGGAAAGAATGTAGGTATCCGTTTTACAGCAAAAATGTTCGCTCAATCTCGTTCGTCAATGTAGCAAGTATTTAATATTATTCTCTCTTGACTGCTGCTCGCAATTTAACTGTAGACAATGATTTCTATTTCTCATTTCGCGTGTATTTTCCCGTTAGTTCTGCGTTTGTTCCAACGATTAATTTTCTTCTTAATTATCACTCGGATACCATTGATCACGTCGAGACGACCTGTGAACTCACTGACGGAAATGTGATTATTCGGACATAGACGCACGCTATCAATAAGCAGCGGGCAGCGGATATAGGAAGATAGTGAAGCTGTGAAATAAATAGGAAGCAAAAACACGACCAGGTAAAGGGTAAAATTAGATGAGGCACCAGCACGAGCAAGCACAGATTAAATTATCTCCTCTAGTTGCGTTTCCTGAGGAATAACTGGAATCTGCAACGTGAGAGCAGAGCATACATGGTTATCAAGTGGTTCCTTCGCATCGCCATCACGTTCTTGGGAGAACGGCTGGATGATTTAAAACTGATGGTCACGTGGTTAATGAAGTGACCAGTTTTAAAACTCTCCCGTCCTCTGAAGAACTGGTATCAAGGTATCAAGGTAGTTTTGTGGTATCAAGAGGCGATAAGACCCATTTGGATACCACGTGTCGCTCGGGCTCCCTGATGCCGATCGAGGGCAACGTCAAATCTTGTACAATCAAACTCGGTTATAACGACCTCGATTATAACGACGAAAAGTGCCAGGTCCCGGCGTAGGGCCCATAAGGCACGTTTCATTTTACCTCAGCTATAGCGAACACGGGTATAGCGAGTACCTCGGTTATAACGAAGTCCATTGAAGGTCCCACTGACGAAATCGACAACGTTGATGTCCCTAATCCGTCATTCTTAACTGGAATTCCCATCATAGGAAAAATTAGCGTTGGTGAGCCATAACGTTATCTTTCCTGGAGTCGGCATTCCTTGAGAGTCATGTGGGTGTGAATGGAGGAGGGTGAGGGAGGGATGTAACTAAAAATATCATCTCATCTTCAGTCACCATTGCATTTCTCGTTAACAATATGGTCAGTGGAAAGCGAAAGAGGCACGATTGAAAGGAAAGTGTGCATGATTAATTTATTAGGAAGTGCTTAAAGTAAAGACTAAGTCCCCCTCGAAAAACATAGACTTCTGTTCATCTTTTTCCACAATTTCGGAAAATCGTGGCAACTTCATCCGTGCTTACGAGAACATATCACAAAACAAGAAACTTCGTGGATCTGTCGAGATGACGTCGACGAGGCCTTGCTAAAGTATGGATTCAAGAAGTGCGAACATTACGATTAGCGGGTCGATCCTGAAACTGAAGCTATTGTGGCATTCCCGATGTATACTGGAGTTGTAACATTATATTGCTTCTATTTTGAAAACAGGAAAAGGGAATGTCAATGAAGGCAACCTCGGTTATAACGACGATTTTTCCCTGGTCCCTTCGATGACGTTATAAGTTAGTTCTACTGTATTTAATTCGATCATTTCCCTTTGTCGATTTCATTATTCTCGTGCGGCATCGTGTCTGTAGAATGCCATGGTTTTTGATGAACGGCCTCAGGAATGGGGGAATACAGCTTTTCTTTCGATGTTACATTAGCAATGGAATCGAAGATACATATTCGAAGCCTGCCAAGTCGGCAGTCCGGAACGTCATTAAGATCCAGCGGGCAAAAGGCCCATATAAACTCCGCATGAATCCCTTCCATGTCTCTCTTTCCGGACGGAAGAAGAGGCGATACGAAAGCAAATTCAATTCCCCCTAGTCTCCTCTCCTCTAAATGCATCAATTCATTCTTCCTTCACATTTTTCCCCACTCTGCATGCTATTGAACTGCGAGCATCTGGGACCACCTAGCTCAAGACGGTATTCAGCTTCGTTGCCGACTCTTTTCAGGACAACTTCTGGCTTACATCGTCCCATGCTCTCGGCAGCTGTCGCTTCTATCTCTAATTATTTTTGCAAACTGTCAGGCACGTTTATAACAGAAGAGCCGAAAAGAAGAAAGAAAAAAAAATAGATCCACCTGCAAAAAAAATGTACGAGAAAAGTAAAGCTGAAAATGGGCCACTTTTCCTTTCGTTGAATTAGTAGCGTAATTTGCGTGAGTTTGAGCCCCTCAGATGTGCCTAAGTTCGAGAAAATACAGATTCGATCCCCTTAACTCGATGTTCATGATAACGATGTTCATGAAGCTCTCTGCAGTCATACAAATGCCTAAAAACCATTGAAATGTTCCCTCTCAAACGAGGGCTCTCAGTGTGCCATATGCCAAATTTATTTAATTTCTCGAAATCTTTTCTGAGCTGCACATGTCGCAAATTTCAGCTTTCACTCATTTCAGGAACTTAATCATTCATGAGTCACTCGCAATCGTCAGTGTACGAAGACTGCAATCTATTCAAAACTTTTTCCAAGGGTGACTCTTAGATTACCTGGAAAGTTTCGCTGGAAACTTCCTATAATACCTTTTGTATTGCGACTGAAAGGAACGTTTCGCCCCATTAAAACACGCAATAAGGTTCGCTTCCCCCCAGAATTCTCTTCAGCTCTCAGTCACATCCAGCTGTCACACATTTTCGCTCTTTCATTTTCTTCTCATATGATGTATAAACGAGAAAT